TTTTTTTTTTTTTTTGTGTTGTAATAATGGATGAATTTATTTCTTGGGGAAAAAATGGTTTTATATTAATGATTGAATCTATATTGTTCTGAATGATTGAGGTTTACTTGAATTATATTCCTAAAAAATCCTCATCTATTCTGTTTTAATTGTAATTTCAGGTGGAGGGGGGAGCCCGGAATTATTGAAAAGTTCAAAGCCTTTAGTGAAAAGTACAGGGCAAGTACAAAGGTATGATTGATAATCTTTACTCTATGCACTTTCTATCAAAACTAAGAGTTGATGGATCCATGATCCATGAAATAATAGCAATTACAAATAAATGCCACAAACATTTAATTTCATATGTTTCAAATGATTCTGAAAAACTTTGCAAATGTATAGCAATCTTGCTGCTTTATCTTTTGATGATGTTGTAATTAGTATATACCATGGAATTTGTGTTTTAACAATTTTAATTATGTGGGCAACTTTGGAGGAGGTATATATAGATGTTATGCTGCATTTATGCTTTTGAAATTTCTAGTCATAGAACTGCTAGTGTTTAACATTTCCTTAACCTGCAGAACCTTGAAAGTAAAATGACTCAAAGAGTGGGAATAGAGGGTGTCACTGCCGTGAATTCAAGTAGCTTTGGAGGTATGGTGAATTCAACTAGCTCTGGGGAAGTGGGGATTTTACAATTGTTGTTACAGCAAGTTGAACCTTGGCATGGGCTAAGGCAGTTTGGCGCACTTTGCCAGCCCACCTTGGTTGCAACTTTGCTGCCTTAATTTTTGTGGGCTAACTCTTTTGTTTTGAATGTGACAGCAATGGGAACCCCATTTGAGCCAGCAAGGGAATTAAAGAGAAAGGGAGAGGAAGAACCGGATGAAGTATGTAGTCAGTAAACTGTAGCCCCTCTCTTCCAAGTTCTTTTTTGCATTGAATTATTTGGTTTAGATTTTTGTAAATTCACAAATATAAGGTTTAGTTTGAATTTAAACCATAAATTAACCATAAAACTACGAAACCAAACTTAAATTAAAACCTAAAATTACAACTTTCTTCAATTTTCTACAGTGTCTTTTCTATTATCCTCTGTGCGTATTTCTTCCCATATCCAACCATGAACGAAATTCCCAACGGATTGTTTCCCAACCCACCTGTATTGATGAAATGCCTGAATCAGGTCAGGTCCAATTGTGGATTGCGGGAATGAAAGTTGAATATTATATCATGTGCAAGTTCCAATTACCTGGCTTCTTGCGAACTCTGTAGGCCTTTCAAGAATAACGATCGCCTCCCCACAATGTACTTGTCTCCTGGCTTGACCCAAAGTGCGCCCATAGACTAGTAGAAGGAATGATAGAGCTGTGGCATGTTCTAGGCTGCTTCCTCCTTTGTTTGAAAAGAAGCCCACCTAGAATATATTTAGTGGGTGTTTGGTGCAGCTGGTCGGAAGACCTTTTGAAGTCCAAAAGGTGCAGCTGCACCAAACACCCTAACTTTTAAAATGAGCTTCAGCTCCGGGGAAGCAAAAGTTAGCTTCCACCTTTTGAAAATTGAGAAGTAATGAATTTGAAGCTTTTGCGGGAGCTTCCAGCTTCCAATTAATGAAATTGACATGTTATACCTATTTTACCCTTATATCTTAATAAATTTACAACTAAAACCAGTATATATACCTCCTCATTTATATCCCAAACCCATTTTTCCCTTATCTGCCGATTTCCTATACCTCCTCATTTATAACCCAAACCCCTTTTTTTCCTTCTCCATCTCCCGATTTCCTCTGTTCCATGGCCACAGCGATCCATTGCCGCAGCGACAAGATCAACACCTTCGACCTCCTCCTCTTCCTCATCCGTTACCACGATGGTGACCGTAGAAAACACTCCAACTGCGACACAACCTCCGGAAACCCTTGTTCTCCAACTGCGCTCCAGGAAGAAGAAGGTGACCTGGAAAGAGGGGACCGTGGATAATGAGTTTATGAACAAGAAGAGTTCTAAGAAATGCTGCATCTTCCACAAACAAAAACCCTTCGACAAAGACGACAGCGACGACGATCATCACCATAACCACCGCTCTTGTGGTCATGATCGCAAGGATGACTGTGGGCCCAGTACCAGCTCCGGCAACTGATTGATTAATTCGGTGACTTTTTTCGATTTACCGTCTGCCCTCGTGGGATCAATTTGAGAACTAGAAGTTGTCCGACATATGATTTTGGATCTTTATTTTTGCCGTTTCGATTTACTTTCATCAGTTTTTCCGCTGTTTGGGTATTTCTAAGTTCTAATTGCAATTGCATGTGCTCATAGTCTTTTGGTGTGAACTCAATGGTCCAATTGCCTATGGTTTTATGGGTATGTTGTTTATTAATTATGCCAGAAGGGGAATGTTAATTTCCATCTCTATATCTACATGTTCTTCATCTTGAAAATTCAGGAATTTTATTTGGTGACTCACCAACATCAGGAAGTCAAGGCTGAAGCAACCATCAAAGATTGTTTTTTGTGCTTATTTTCTCGTTGCATTGTTTTTCTCCTCTCTTCTTATGTGTTGTATGATAAAGCAAAGAGGTAATTAAAATCTGAATGTATTAATTTATTTAATTCTGCAGATGATGCTAGAAATTTCAAAATAAACGTTGTAGATTATTTTGAGTAAAGTTGATAGAAAAAGAAAATAATTATCTGGAGTAAATAGTCTAAAGTTTAATGATGCGAGCGATTGTCAGTTTGATATTTACATGATTATGCCCTTTTTTTTGTAAAAGAAATTGTATTGAATTCTCATGACTTGGTTGTTCTGCAAGTCTGGAATACTTCAAAGTCTGTAAAAATAAATTTTAGCTGCTCCTATAAGATGCTCCATTATGCATAGCAATT